GAGTTGAATGAGACCATCAATCGCTTCAAACAGCACACCCATGTCATGGCCTACTTCAAGGACACCCACAACCCCCGGCCCAAGGACTTCATGTCCAAGTTCTTGAGCGGACACAACGCCGAGTGATCCACGTCTTCAGTTATTGCCGTTTGGCTTGTGTTTAGGGTTTTGTTGCAAATTATAGTCAAATATATTATATAATTACTACTTCTCACTGATCTTTCACCTCAACTATAGCTCAATCTCTGGATTATAATAGAGTTTAAGTTCAAGTGTTGCATGAATTATGCAAATGTCTGATAAGACAATAGGTTTTGAAATTTATTTTGTTGTCACATATAATGTTTAGTTTTGTGTGAATACTCGCCTCTACTATAGGTTTGGATTCATTGAGAGATTCTGTTGTAATCGCCTTTAGAGACGAGAATTAATGAATAAAAAAATGTGTATAAAAAATACAAGCAATTGATGCCAAAAACAATGCCATTTGTGTGATCCGCTTGATTACAAGAGTATTAAACAGTAATTAAGTGATGTCTGTGTCGGTGGACACGCAGAGGGCTATGCGATGTGCAGACCTATACGGGATGTGCTACTCGTGTGCTGCCTTTCCATCGGATGTCGTATACTGAAGCAAATGAAACAATCATTTTGTGCCGCATTTTAATTACATATTCATCTCTTCATGAAAGCAAGCGATTAGCGATGCGTTCACTGGTTTAGTATAATTGTGTTCAATGGTGAGGATTGTAGGGATAGGGATAGGGATAGGGATAGGGATAGGGATAGGGATAGGGATGGTAGGGATGTAAGCAATTTAAATGTATGCACTATTATGTGTGAAAATAATGTTCATTCATGAACCCAATGGGAACGGCCTCTACCAGCACCACCACCACCACCACCTACCGTCAAAAATTGCGTCAATAGTTGTAGACTGTATGCTCAGCTCTCGTACGAGAAGTGGCAACAAATAGTGTATACGAGTAGTACGACTGGATCGGTGTGTTTGCGCCAAACCTTACAATACAAACGGTTTGGGCTTTTGTTTACAACTAATCGTTTGATTAAAGCGATTGTCATCATTGCGACCAACATTTGACACCAAACCACACACACGGGCGTCAGGTCGGGGTATTGGCCACACATTGGGTCCCATAGATACGGGCGTTCATGTATTTAACGGTATGTACACTGTGTTTATATGATAGCACCTAGGTGCTGGACAATGGCTTTGTCGCTCACTTTCACAGCCACATACCTATGCTCTAATTGTGGTCTATTATCGCATTCATGCAATTAGTGAACCCAATATACATTAGTTAACATACAGTAGATGTAAATCCGTATAACTATCCATACATGCAGTGTATGCTTGTGTTGCAAACCCTACCAAAACCTACACTCTTTGTCTGTGTGTTATTCAATGCATTCATATGTGTATAACAATAGAGTATTTGTGTTGTTGTATGGCTTGTATAGTATAATATGCGAGTCTATGCTTTCGTCTAATATCGATTTCATTTGCCAAATATGTAATCATCATAATTGAAGTGATTGTCTAACAGCTAACCATTGACTAAGTGTGTGTCTGTGGTGGACAACTAAAATGGTAACTGTGTGTGTGATTTGGCTACTGTATGCTCAATGGGTGCTTGTTGCTATTTTCATAGATGCAGTCTTAGACCCATTTCTATGACTTGCCATTTAAAGGGCTAAGTCTTCAAAATGTTATCTATGTTTTCGTCTAATATTTTATTTCATATATCAATAACACATTCATTAAATGAAATAACACTCGCTTTCACTCATTAATTATTTTGGTGTCTATACATAGCATACAGTACTGTAGTTTGGTTCAGGTTTTTGTGTTAACCCTTTCCTATGATCCCTTTCCTATTATCTCACTACAGATACCATTTTTATGGTGTTTGTGAACACATAAAGAGATTGCTTTGCAGACTATTTTTGATTAATTTATCTTTTTTGCCAATTATTGTCAAAAGCATTGAATGATTAGTACAGATGTATATTACTACAGATACCATATTTATGGTGTTTGTGAACACATAAAGAGATTGCTTTGCAGACTATTTTTGATTAATTTATCTTTTTTGCCAATTATTGTCAAAAGCATTGAATGATTAGTACAGATGTATATAATAGCGAATGTATGATATGTTGCATATGTATAGTAGACTAGACTTACGACTATTATGCCATTGATTGATAGGTTAAGCGTAGACTGAACTGGGATTCCGGTGCTGACAGTCAACCGCAGACTCAGCCCAATGTGAGCGCAATAAAGTTCGCCTCAAAAGTCATTTTCAAAGCGCCGTCACTACCAAAAGTGCGGCCAGTTGTGGCCAACTTTGGTCTTGTTTCCACCACTGCCCCTACCATACCGACAACACCGCCACCAAAGCCCATAACTATAACCAAATATACCATAAAAAGTCCGCAAACGCCCGTCGAGTCCGAGGATGCGGTCACCCCTTCAAAAGGAAAGCATCGCTACGAGACCTCATTGGGACAGTTGACCCGCAAGTTCATCAGTTTGCTTCAGAACGCATCCGATGGTGTAAGCGCTCACACATGCCGTGCCCTCCATTTCCTGTCACTTGACCCCAATCTCTGACTCGTCTTCTATTGAATAGATCCTGAATTTGAACGAAGCGTCCACTGTATTACAAGTCCAGAAGCGCCGCATCTATGATATCACGAACGTCTTGGAAGGCGTGGGACTTCTGCACAAGACATCCAAAAACAATATTCAATGGAAAGGCGGTTCAATAGACGGCGGACCGCAAGCCTGTTCGTCATCGACACTGCAATCGGAGTCCGTAATCGCGAAGAAGATCCACATAGAGATGGAAAACGCGAAACTCGACGCCAAAGAACGAGAGCTCAACGAACTGATCGAAATGGCCAACAATGAGCTCCGGGCCGCTCACGACAACCTCGACAACAAGAGGTTCGCGTTTGTCACGTATCGCGACATCCGTGGAATCAAAGAATTTTCAGACCAGACTGTGATAGCAATTAAAGCACCCTCTGAGACAAAACTCGAAGTACCCGATCCTAGAGAGGTATGTCTGTCCACACGAGCACCCATTGAGTGGCTTTTGAAATGACATTATCGTGCGGTTTGGTTACAGAGCCTTCAAATATGGTTAAAGAGCGAAAAGGGAGAGATCGAAGTATACCTGTGCCCTGACGACGATGGCATGACACTTAACTCTGATGATGGAAAGGGAGGATCTGTTCACTCGGATCTAATGAGCATTAATGGAGATAATCAAGAGAACGACGGATCGAAAGGTTGGTTTCAATTGTCATAGTAATCCATCAACTGGTTTGCTATAGTATTGACTCATTTGTGTGTTTGTGTGGACCCGTAGCCGAAGAAACTGCCCTAAAGTTTGCGTTCATATCGGAAGACGACGACTTGGGACCCATGGGTTCGAAGAGTTTTCTGATGCAAACTGAAGACCAGTTGAAACTCGCCAATGAAACCGCATTGACCTCATCCGACCCGACCTCTAATCTGCCATTTTTGCATTTAGAGCCCCCGCTCTCCGAAGAGGACTATAATTTCACTCTCGAGGAGAGCGAAGGCATCGCCGACTTGTTTGACGACGACTTCTCCTTAACGTGAATACTGTCCGAGATTCGTGTCATCCGATCGTCTCTTTGATTCCCAAATCGTTTGATATCTTATTTGACGAATGGATTATTGATAACTAGAGTTCAATATAAGATATGATAACCGAAACTGAATAGACATTTGAACGACTCATTTATTTACAGCTTTAGTTAGCTATTAATGATTGCATTATTTATGATTTTAATTACAAAATTTATTTACTGATTGTAAGTAACTTTAGCTCATTAAGTTAATTCATACACACATACACACACCCACTAACCTCCAGGCGTCGCGTTATTATAGCCTCGGTTTTATGATTTTCTTAATATCTTATATTTTATCGTAAATTATTGAACATTAATATTATATTTTAATTTCTAATATAAAATGCAGTAATTGATGAAGTTATGTATTTTATACACTTTTTTTTATAAACAACACCTTATTGTACAGTTTTGACTGAACGTACGGCGCCTTCCCTTCGAGACCACCTCTGGAAGAGCGCAGAGATATTGTCTTTTTAGTTGAATTTTAATTTTGAAATGTTTTGAGTTCTTTGCATACAATTTGTTTTGTACTCAAACTTCTTAAACTTATTTATTATTAATTATTTAATCGACTTTAAAATTGTTTTAATGCCTATAAAGTTGGTGTCGAAAACCAATTATATGATTGACTTTTCTTTCTATTATTTATGTATTATTTATACGTTGCCATCGATTGATCCGATCGTAACGACAAAATTTTTTCAATAATTTAAACCCTTTTCTAATTTAATTGTTTATAAATGAAATCAAATCTGTGTTTCCGATGATTGTGTTCGGAATCAAATCAGTTATGAGTCCATAAAGATATTGCGAATAGCATTCACTATTGTTTTGAGAAGTCATCTCTCAATTTGCTATCAAATGATTGATTAAGTTATTATTGATTGTGTAATACTTTTAATCATTAATTAATTTGAAAATAAATCGATTATTTTATTAAAATACTATGAATTGTCGTATTCTTATGCAGCAGTACTAATGGTGTTGGAAGTAATTATAGACATTTCACTTCCCTATAGATTTTATTGCAGACTTTTCAAGAGTATTAGCGGAAAAAGTTGAGAACACAACAGGCCCTGACCCACGAGCATCGGACCACATCCATGGCCACTACTCCCGCCTCTGAGAAGCATTTATAGACGTTTTGGACGGGATAGTAGGGAAAGCAATGTCCCGCCCGACCCATCACAACACAATCCCTTTTGTCGGCCAATGGTTTGGTTGATGCGGGCAAAGGGTGTTGTGGCAGCTCTGGAGTGGGCATAGAGTCGGCCGCACTCTGACCTCTGTCCGGATTTCGTGACTTCTGTTCTCTTATTGGGTTTGTGAGAGTCGTGGACGACATTTGGCGTGACTTTGACTTCAACTCATGGAAGGGGTCGACCTTCACGAAGAACGGCGGCTGTCTATTAGACACCGGCTTTGAAACCATTTCTATCGGTTTCACTATTACTTCATCCGTATTATCATCTGATATGACAATAGGATTATGTATTTGCAGAGCATTTGGATCTGTTGTGAATATGGGAGGCGGTTGAGGTCGTTGTGATACATCGTTGGGGTCGATGACCACTAAATATAGTGAGAATATTCTTTGAGATAAGGTATGAGATAAATATTAATAAATAACTTACGAGTGGGTGTTATAGATACAGGCGCTGAAGGTGATGACACAGTTTTGGCACTTGTATTCATAAGTTGATTATTTATAGCAAAACTTTGATTGCTAACTTCATGTATTTGGGAACAATTTGTTGTTTCAAAATCATTTGAATTACTAGTTATTAAATTGAATAGCAATGTATTAATGAATACTAAACATTGAAATTTCATTTTGTTTTAATAGTTTAAAAAGTTTATCACTTAACGACTGACTTACAGAATATGGACATTAACTGGACGTTCAGACCTTAATTTAGGTGGAGCTCGGGTTCAATAAACCATCACTTAATTCACAGGTATTACAGGGAATAGACCTTTACCTCGATATCCAAAATGCTTATCAATTTCCTGATTATCTCTTCCTATTTGATCACAAAATGTTTGTTTAGTTATTCTTTGGTTGCGATAAGATTTAAAGCTTCTCATCGGCTTATCTATGAACGCATCAAAACATAGTAAACAAACATTTCATTAGTTTCTTGCCATAAATTCCTAATTCATTCAATTCCCAGAATTCTGATATGTTTGGGAAAATTCTGATAATATTTTAAATAATTATAAATTCATTTATTAACGAAAAATAACATATTTAACAAAATTTTAAAAACAGAATTATTTGATAACATAGCTATCGATCAATAATATTTTAACAGTTAAATTATTCGAGTAATCATTGAATCATAAATTTAAGTAATTTTTAAATCGAGACAACAAGTGATAAACGCTATACTGGACTATAAATAGGCATTAATTAAGAAGTTGACAGTATTTTTATAACAATAAGTGGTTTATGACTACTGATGATCGCGAGACTACTGTTCCGGTCTAATGGCTTGCTCTCCGCGTAGACGGCGAGCCAACTGCATGTCTTTGGGCATAATCGTCACTCTTTTGGCGTGAAGTGCGCACAGGTTTGTGTCATCGAACAGACGGGTCAGGTAGGCCTCCGCCGCCTCCTGGAGGGCCAGCAGTGCTGTCGACTGATAGCGGAAGCCATCCATGAAATCAGTCGATAACTGGCGGACCAGTCGTTGAAACGGGAGTTTCTTAATCAAGAGGTCAGTGTTCTTCTGGTAGAGCCGGATGTCGCGAAGGGCTGCCGCACCCGGTCTATAGCGGTGGCCATTAAGATTGGGTCCGTTTGCCGGAGGTTTGGGTGTCATCGCCGGAGGACTACATCTTTTGGTGGACTTCGTGGCCACCTGAAGACGCTGTCGTGATTTGATGCCCACTTGGAGGCGACCTGTGGTCGACTTGCGAGCTCTCGGCTGCTGATTCTTCGGCTCCTCTTTCTCTGCGCTCTTTGTCTTTGGCTATCATTCAAAGCAAATGGTGTTTCAAATAGTTTGCAAAATGGGTGCAAATATGCACTCAAATCAATGCAAACCACTGTTTTTTGGGGCACAGAGTTCTTGCGCCGACAACTGCCCGACTGTCCGTTCGGTGATAATGTAATCACAAGTCTTTCCACCATTTGTTGGCTATTCCTGACGGGGAAGGGATCCGTTTCCGCGGACGTGAACCCTCCGCAGCCACCAGTGGTCGCGCACTGAGATCCCAGTGCTTTCACGGGTTGCGGATCTTCTTCGTCATCCGAGTCGACCAATGGTTCATCCATTTGCGGATCATTGAGGATCTGCTCGATGATAGTGGTGGACACCCCGTGGTTGGCATCACTTCGCACACCACTCACCGATGTCTGTGTCTGTTGTGCGATGTGGTCATCGAGAGGGACGTCGACATAACCCCCGAGTTCGTCCTCTGAGTCACCGAATGGTTGGGACATGTCTTCAGGAATTGTCTTTCAAGAGGTGATACAACTGACGGTTCAATACAATTAGTTCACGGAATACACGACTGACTGATCACTGAATGGGTAATCGAATGGCTATTAAATGGCATTCAATTCAATCACTTATTGCACACTATTTTCACTTTCAATGAGACCTTTAAATGTAACGCAATGTTGAGAACGCAATACTGGACTACTGTATGGCCTATACCTGTACTGCAGGACTATAGGAATCCTATCATAGGATACATCTGTTTTGCATTTCATCTCAATTTACATCATTAGCACTGAATTGCAATGAATGATGAAATCAGTCACAAGTTGTGAAACAAACGAAACATTTTCGAGAAATTCAAACTTTTATTTCAATATTCAATTGAATGCATAAATAAATACAAAATAAATATTTCATTAAAAAACTTTTCTTTCTGACAAACCATTGGTTTGAAAGACATATGAAATTCAGAAATAAATTATAATAACTATTAATATATAAATAAATTGAAAGATAAGCTAAAGATAGGGAACTAATTGAGTGGACAGTCGGTAGTGAGGGAGTGGACAGTCAGTGATGACTGAGTGGTCTATTTAGTGGTGAATTGGGAGAAGAAGTTTCGTATACAACAGGCCTGAGTGAAGGCGCAGTCGTCGTAGTCGGGCGCCAGTACTCCACCGTCACGGATACAGCTGAAGAAGTTGGGAATCGTGAGGCACTCGCCTTTCCCGCGGAACACCTGACACGGCCTGTGAGTCGACACAACCACCGGAACCGTGTTCTGGACGACCGGCTCTTTGATGG